CTACTTTATTGTAATATTTTTTTATTTGTGTAGTACAAATTGGAGAATAAAGCGGGTAACTTTTCACATATATATTACCCCGCTAGAAGTTGTAGTAATAGAAGATATTAAATCTTTCCTTTATTTATAGTTTCAATATAACCAGCCGTTTTCGCGAATACTTTAGAAACTCAATTAAGTTTCTTTGAGACTTACTACAACATAATGCCTTATTGATGATCAATTTTATTCCTCTAAAATAGTAATAATTGACTCTTCCAGAGCTCTCAATTAATTTTGTACTACCACATATTCATCAACATCCATATGGTGAATATCTCTTTTAAAGAGAAAGTTATACCATTATGGTTATGGTCAAAATTATATGCAAGATATATTTCTTGTATTAATGTTATTCTTTAATAATCACATTACATCATGAATGAGCCATAATCATCTATATGTAATTTACAAAATCTCATGTCAAATCGATGACAAACATTACTTTCACAGAGTGAAGGATTATTTTGAGAAACCTTATTATTCTCATTATCACAATGATGACGATTATAATTTCGTCTATTGCCACGTCCACGTCCATTGATACCTTAATGGTAATAATTTTGTCTTCTTTCAGACGTATTACATACGGCTATCACATTCTCTTAAGCGAATGAGAATGGAGCAAATTCAATGGGACGGATTTTCAATTCTTGTGCTCACAATCATACATGAATTTGATCATGGCAAGACATAGAAATTTTACCACTTCACATGGTTCTAATTTCTTACAAACTCCATTAGAGTTATAATCAAAATTTATTGTCTTTGCTTATATTTAAAATCAAATTATAAAATATCAAGAATTTAAAAGAGAAAAATAAAGTAAAATACTTACCTTAAATCCAGAATTTAATCCTGAAGAAAGTTCATGGAACAATTGACAATCATTATGCTCAATCCCAAAGCTTCTACTCAATTGGTTAGAGTCTCGTGCTAATAACGTGTTATGAAATAATAAAAGAAGAAGAAGAGTATTGTAGAGAAAAAGAGAGAGAGAGAGGATTGTTATTGATTTGAGCCAATTACAATGGAATAGAACTCCTCTATTTATAGGGAAAAGAGTGACTTAGCCACCAAGTAAAATTCCTAAAATCTCTCTAAAATATAGACATTCACCTTAAATAAAATTTTATTTATAACAATTCAAATATTCTCTCAATTTCTTTCTATCTCTCGTGTGGGGGTCTTTGACCATTTTTGAATCTACACAAAAAAATTCTCATAAAATTGAAAATACTTTACCCTTATACTTTTGCTATTCCATTTCTTTTTCTCCCTTTACTTGCTTCTTCTCTCACCCTAACTCAAATAGCCGTCCACTTAATCGCTTAAACTAAAAATAATCGGTGAAGATATAATATATGCATAAATTATGTTACATGATATAATTATATATAATGAATGTATAATTTATGTATATAACTAAAAAAAAGTAACGATAAATATAACCGGCTATTTGTGTAAAGATCCCTTCCTTTATCCACAGAAAGACCGAAATCTTTAAAGGTTTTAGGAGGTTATTTGCCTCCTATACTAATCAAGTTCCCTCAAATATATATATTTGATGTTGTATTCCGTATATTTAATGTACAATACATTTATAGTTGTAATCTATATAATATACATATTTGATGTATAGTTCTGTATACGTCACCTATAAATAAATGTATATATTCAGTGTATGTAGTATTATATTTTATGTATAACTTATGTATTTTGGTGAAATCTGAATATATTTTATGTATACTTGACATGGAATATTTTTTAGACTTCTCCATGTCTGTGTAATCATAATTTAAAAAAAAAGGTATATTACAATGTATATTATTGTTATTAGGAGATTATATTTAACATATAGTGCTTTTTTAACTGTTATGCTCAATATATAACAGTTCTATTTGATATTATTTTTTAATTATTTTGTTCCATCTATATATTATAGATTATTGTCACGATCCGGATTTCCCACCATCGGGTGTCGTGATGGCACCTACTATCGGAGCTAGGCAAGCCAAATGTTTAAAACACCTTTCCTGCTTTCTTTCAACAATATAACAAGCGAGACACAATCTAAGCGACAGACTTTAAATTTAAAACAACTGAAAACCAAAAGTGCGGAAGTTTGAACCAAAATGCTACCCAGAGTTTGGTGTCACTAGCTCACGGACTACTACAGAATGCTAGAAACAATGTCTGAAAGGAAAATACATCATATTTATCTGATACAAGATAAACAAACGAAAACATGGAAAGGGACTTCGGTCTGCGAACGCCAGCTAGGCTACCTCGAGAGTCCCTGGACTGAAGATAGCTCCCAGAAAGTCCTACTGCTGCGGTCCGAAAGCTGCTCCCTGATTTGTTCACAAAAATGCACAGAGTGCAGCATCAGCACAACCGACCCCATGTGCTGGTAAGTGCCTGGCCTAACCCCGGTGAAGTAGTGACGAGGCTAGACAGGACCTACCGCAATTAACCTGTACATATATATATAACAAGTACAAGAAAACAATAACAAGATAATACAAAGTAAAGCTGGGAGGGGACATGCTATCGGGGAGTAACAGATAAGAATGAAATATCGGAAATAAACAGAAGAAACTCCGGTTTCCATAAGATATATGTATATTTATATATATAGTGGACGGCGTGCCACACGATCCCATAATATCATATATAAGTGGACGGCGTGCCACACGATCCCATAATATCATATATAAGTGGACGGCGTGCCACACGATCCCATAATATCATATATAAGTGGACG